CCAACTTTGAGCTGCTATATCTTGATGCTCAAAACTCCAATCTAGTTCCATTTGTTGTGTTTAAAACCTTGATTGGAATTCTTATTGTGTTATGAATTTTAGAGGCTATTTCACTTTCTGTGAATCTTGCCAAATTTCCAAATTTTGCCAAAAAACATGATCGAAATTGTCTTGTATGCTTATATCAGCCACTTTAAGTTGAAATTTGAATGTCTTCCGTTTAAAATCTTGAAAAAGTGTCTACTAGGAATTTTTAGTACTTTGAACCAAGTTTCCAACGGTACTAAGTTTTTCAATTTTTGACCTATTGAGTGCAAGATCTGATATTTCTAAGTTTGACGTGCAAAACTGAAATTTGCTGATTTCTTAGAAAATGAAATTTTGGGAACTTGACTTCTTATCTTGATATTGGTATATTGTTTTGAACCCGATTTCGTGGGGAATACGAGTTTCTTTAGTAACTTTAAAATTCTCACTTTTGAATATTGATTTTTGATAAAATGAAGCTCCTATAAGGACATTGATTTGAATTTTAAAGATTGTGTGCATTCTTCCTTATTTAACAAAGAATTTGTGAAAATGTGTGTGGGTGATTGTTGGTCGTTTTTCTTCAGGCGATCAAGAAGGTCTCGAAGAGAATCTTGAAGCAGATCATTAAAGATCTTTTGCACTTACTCCCTTGTTGTGATTTGGTGAGTGTCAAGTGCATGAATTGTTGATAAATGTTTTAAATTGTTAATTGAGTATTATGGAATTGTTGAGATGAGTGTGTATTTTATCGCACTTGTTCTCCCTTAAGTGATGCTACAATTGAATTGTGCTATGTGAATTGATATTAGAATTGTGTGAAGTGAATTGTTATCTGAATTAAGTGAAATGTTACTATTGCAAATTACATTTGTGTTGACTCGACGTCGATCGAAGTAAATCTTATCGACAAATCATATTTTACTCGTGGGGATGCCCTTGTCCTCTCTCTCTCTTTGAACTACATGGTACTTAAGATCTGAATACATATGATTGGTAATTGTACATGAACAGTTTAACTCGTGAGTTCTGAGCGGAAGCATGTACCATACGAATTCGGGTGGGAGGTGCCTCTCATATCGTCTCAGTGCTAAAATCGGTTCACTGAGTGATAGCACGTACCACACCGATTCGGGTGGGAGGTACCTCTCATATTGACTCAGGACCATAAACAATGATTGGTAATTGTACATGAATATGTTTAATTCGTGAGTTCTGAGTGGATAGCATGTACCACAGTAATTTAGGTGGGAGGTACCTCTCATACCGTCTCGGTGCTATAATTGGTTCTCAGAGCGATAGCATGTGTCACACTGATTCGGTTGGGAGGTACCTCTCATGTCGACTCAAAACCCTAAGCAAATAATCAGTTCTCTAAGTGATAGAATGTACCACACCGATTCAGTTGGGAGATACCTCTCATGTCGATTCAGGATCATAAACAAAGTATAAGTCGATTGGAGCGATGTCTCATCGATCACTGGACGATAGTATGTACCACATCGATTCGAGTGGGAGGTACCTCTCATGTCAACTCAGAACCATAAACGTATAATCGATTCCCTGAATGATAGCATGTACCACATCGATTCGGGTGGGAAGTAACTCTCATGTCGACTCAAAACCATAAATGGAGTAAGTGAAGTTCTACGGACTTAATTTCCTATCCGAGTGACGGAGTGCCATCACAAGGAGGTATTGGATTGAACTTTGGCAAAGCAAGTGAAAAATAGCTCTTGAGAGCTCATGTATCCTCATTGAATATGTTGAATTGAAAATTGTGAATTGTTTGAATGTTACAACTTTCTTTCTCGCTTAAATCATATTGTTATTTGAACTACGTGTTTTGCATGTTTTCTTGGCCTCACGAGCATTCGCTCACCCCGTTGGATTTGTTTTCCTTAACAAGAGTTGAGATGGAAGGAATTATGGGGAAGCCTATTTGATGGCATTTTTTACTAGAATTTTGAAATGTTTTGTCTAGACATCTTTTGGGAAGTTGTATATTTTGGAAAGTGGATGTATTTCAAACTTGTGATGTAAGATTGGATATTTATGTATGGAAGCGACTTCTCTTTCTTATTTTATCTTGTCTTATTAGTTATTATTGGTAATAAACTTGAACTGGAATTGTACTGAGTCCTGGCGAGAGTTGGACAGGCATCCCGCAGATACTCTTTGGTTCGCCTTAGGGAGAAATAGGGGCATCACGTGTAGTCTCTCTCACCTTGTTTTTACAGATGACTATTATTTTCTGCAAGGCAAAAGCTGATGAAGCTGCTCAGTTCATGGAAGTGCTGGAAACATATGGAAAAACCTCAGGCCAGCTAATAAATGTGAAAAAGTCATCAGTATTTTTCAGCAAATATGTGAAAGAAAAGCAAAGAGTAGTAGTGATAACAAAGCTCAAAGGAATGAAGCAGGTAAAGTAAAGTAGATATTTAGGTTTGCCTTTAGTAATTGGCAGATCTAAGCAACAAGTATTTAACTTCATCAGGGAGAAAATAATGAACAAATTAAAAGGACGGGAGGAGAAGCTACTAAGCCAAAATGGAAAGGAGATTTTGCTAAAATCAGTAATATTAGCACTCCCTACTTATGTGATGTCCTCTTGCAAATTACCAAAAGAACTGTGTAGGAAGATAGGTCCGAAGATGGCTAAATTCTAGTGGGGCCAGAAGGAGGAGGTAAAAAAGATTCATTGGCTGAAATGTGGAAAATTGCCTGAAGCTAGATTAGGCTTTAGAGATCTAATAGAATTCAATCAAGCATTGTTGGCAAAGCAGCTATGGAGGATTATAACTAAGCAAAATCTATTAATGCGAAAACTGATGAAGGCAAAGTAATTTAAGGGGTGCTCTATACAGAAAATGAAAGAAAGAAGTTATGATTCTTGGTGTTGGAAAAGTTTGTTAAGTGCAAGAACCTTGCTGGAAGAAGGGATAAAGACAAGGGTAGGGGATAGCTAAGAAGACAAGTGGATACTTGATGCTAAGGATGGAAAAGTGAAAATTGAAAGAAAGCCAGAATGTGGAAATACCAAGGTAGGTGAACTGATAAGTGAGGGGAAATGGAATGAAGAGTTAATAGAGGAAATGTTTGATGCAAATGACAGGAGGATTATATTGAGAATTCCTTTGAGCATTCAGAAAGAGAAGGATAGGGTCTACAGGTCAAAGTCTAATACAGGAGAGTATACAGTTAAATTTGGATAGAAACTAGCAAAGGAGAGGGGAAAAAGAAAAGATCAACTAAATAGGGAAGTAAGTTCAATTAACAGAAGAGAAGGAGCTGATGAAAACTAGAAGTTTCTTTGGGGACTAAACATGAAACATAAAACATTTTATTTGCAAATGTTCGAAGGGAATTCTTCTAGTTAATGCAATAGTAAAGGAAAGATGATCCAAAGGTGACCGTATCTGTAAATGCTATGGTGAAAGTCCTGAAACGTTAGAACATACGTTAATTTTTTTTTTAGAAATACTAGAACAATCTGGAAAGCTGCACCTTTGAGTTGGGATAGATTGGACAACTATAGAAATAACTTCTGGCATTGGTAGGAGGAATTAAAGGATGCTGTAGTTAGAGAAAATGGAAACGAACATATAATTCTAACAGTAAACTTCCTTTGGCAGATATGGAGTCAAGAAATGAGAAGCAATTTAACAACACTAACAGAGATCCAATGGTAGCAATGAACAAAGCAATATTGGAATAGAATGAATATCAGGCAGCACAGGAGTAGGAGATGGAGATGGGAATTCAAAAACAAGAAGAAAAAAGAGAAGATAAGCATTGGAAGAACCACAAACTGGATGGATTAAGGTGAATATAGATGCAGTTTCAAACAACAAATTTAATAGGGCAGGTTGGGGTATTGCAGCAAGGAGCTGGCAAGGCAAAGTGATTGCTATATGGGCTTATCCCTCTAAAAGCTGCTCAAATGCAAGGCTTGAAGAGGCACTAGCACTTAGAGCTGCCATGATAAGAGCAAAGCAACAAGGTTGGAAGAGAGTAGAATTCGAATCAAATTGCAAACAAGTGGTCGACAAGGTGAATGAGAAGGGGGAGGATATGCTTACTGCAACTGTTCTGAAGGATGTCAGGATGGTAAAGTATGAATTTGATGAATGCTGTGCTTCCTTCACTAGGAGGGAAACAGCTCTGTTAGTCATCAACTAACAAAATTTGTTATAAACCTCAAAGATGTAATTGAATGGAAACAAGAATTCCCAATTTGGTTGCTTGAGATTGCTCAAGCAGATTTTGTGGTTTTCAATATTATATTAGCTTGCATCTTCTCTTTTTATTCCTCCCACATTTGATATGGTTTTCATCCAGGATCTCTTTGCAAAGGCCATCTATGTTTCCATGCGAAGAACCTTTAATCAAGTGGAAAAAAAAAGTACCAAGACAGTCAAAACCAGCAATTTATGATGGATGGTTCAACCAATAATTGAGAAACCACATATAAGAGTTTCAGATAAATCTTCAGCACTTCAACTTAAAACACATAAAGCTATTCATTTGCAGTTGAAATACGACAATTTTCACTGCAATTTACCCATTTCTATTCGCCACCCTTCCCATGGTTTCATGTACCAAGTCCCCAGCATGAGATTCCCTTATCCGTCCAAAATAAAAACATAAATAAACAATTCTACACCTAAGATCACAAGACACCCAAAACAAACAAGACTGCCTGGACCAACTCAAAACCTCCAAAGCATTCGAGTTGGAGCTGATAAACATAGAAGTTAACATACAATTAGTACACTCGACACATTCAAAGATCGACGGGGTCGCAATAGCCAACGTTCTCGTGGTTTTGGCTAAACAAGCCCTTTTACAACGCTTTCCCTATCTGTCCCAAGAGGGGGGACTTTTTTGGTTGTTTGGCAGGCGGGCTGGGAAGAAGGGGGGTTGTTCAGGAAGTATTAGATAAAAAAAAACTTCTACACGACAAAAAGGACAGCCAGCACCAAACTGGAAATCTCCAAAACTTGCATTAAACCTGATAAATAACCAATGTGTATACACAATTTGTAAAATCAACATCTCATACCTAACCTAAGTTCCTCGCAGGAAGCTACACTTTACCTTGTTCTTAACTTAAAACTAAAACCTATTCACCCGGTAGTACAACATTTCTCTCACAAGAAAAATCTTCTGCGACTAGTATCCATTTCCGGCTGGTATTCAAAAGAAAAACAAAACAGAGCACAAAAAATGAATTAGTTGGATGCAGGCAAAAAAGATAAAAATTTGTTTAAGTACTGAAGACCTATATCTAAATCAAGCATTATTGCAGAATAAAAGATAAGGGGCAATCACCTTGTGGACCCACTCATATTCCCCACCCTTTGAATCAAATGTTCCATGTTGTAGACTGATTAACTTTAATGTGAAACGAGGACCACATTCCTGCAAGATTTCCATCTGATGTTACGAAAGGCACCATAGGCAGAGGATATATTAAGTGAACTAGATGAGGACTATCAACATTACACAATATCTGGCAGCTGTAAAACTTTTTACCTACAAACTTCAATGGCAAACGCATGATAATAAACTTAAAATGGTCAAGCACAATAACTCAAACTTTTTGTTTTTTGCAATGTTTGCCGATTAACTACCCTAAAAACCTATCATTTGGAGGCAAATGCAGGTTCAACATCTGAATAAGATGACAATAGCATCACTTCAGTAGCTCCATCTTATTAACTCTCATTAAAAGAATTTCATTAGCATCATTCAAACATCTTTATCTTGTTGGAAAACTAACACTTTTTTGTTTCTCTGTTTGGTAATAAGAAAAAACTCATCACTGTCCACAGGCTTTCAAAGTCGTAGCCAAGAAATCATGAAAATTTCCTTAAAAACATTTTGATGTCATAAGAAACTTAGATCAATTTGAAAACACATATGTAATTCAATGTCAACTCCCTCCCAGCAACGGAAGTGACAGTTTTGCATCATTACACAGACTCAAACATTGCTTTCTACCATCTTCATACTATATATACTTCATATCTTTAAAGAATTCAACTTCACGAGGAGTGTTAGCTTGCAATAAGAAAATAAATAGGTGGAAAAAAAAAGCTTTTGAAAGTCAAACAAGCAGATGTCCATTAGTCTCTCTCTGCTTCTGTTTAGACTTTTATGTGTTGTCATTTTGTAGTAATAAATATTTCTTTGATGAACAGTTAAAACAAACTGGAAGGAAATTTTAAGCATCTTTCACAAATGTGCAGAGCACTGTAACATGTATCCTTGCCAGACCAGCTAGAAGCCAAGTTCTTGGTGTAATTCCAGCTTTACTAGGTAAAGTTTCTAATTCATATTCTGACTTAGATAGCTATTTGCTTTCTCATGTTGCATTTATTTACCCCTTATTTCTTATCCTTCTCTACATTTTTTAAGTGGGTAATATGAATGTGAGTTTTTTTCTAGCCACTAAATCAATTCCAAACCTTTAAAAAGAACTGCCGTAAAGCATGAAAAGAATTGGCCATCAGTATAAACAGAAATACAAAAGAGATGAAAAATGCTAAAGCATAAAAGACCTGTATGACAGGAATATCATAAGGGGCTATAGAAGTGTCAAGAGGGGTTTTCTCCATTCCTTAACCAGTTAACCCAAAGGAACATGTATGACTGGTATTGACTCAATTACGAGTTAAGAATAGACATTCCAGTCAAAACATGGCCTGTATGATGTGCATCTTCATATACCGAAACTAAGGGTACTGCAGATACCAAATATGAGGACAAGACCATTGTGGGAAGACTCAAACTTACTATAGAGTTCCTTGCAGGCAAATTTGTGCAGATCCAAGTACATTACTAACTGCCATTTTAAGGCTTAGTCTCCTTAAAATAGCAAGAAATTAATTCCCATATCTTGGTATTAGGACAAATAGCATTTTTAACAAAACTGAAACTTACTCTTGAACTCTAAATGTGCTAGAAGTACTTACTACAAAAGAAAGAACATATATCTCAAGACAAGAATGAACTAAATCAAAAACACAAACCTGAAGTCGCGCAATTACTTTCTGCTCACTTTTTTCATTGTTATTATCCTTGCTCTTTTCGCCACTGGATGCAGCCTGCTTACTTTCTTTGGTTTCAAAAATGTAACTTCACATTCAAAAAATAAGGTTGCCATCACAAAGCTTTGTTAGAAGTCTAAGATTAATATGTGGAATAGAACAAACTCCTTAAAAGAAAGAACACACACCGGTGATGGCAAAAGAATACAAAATCACGTTGATTGTGAAATGTTACAACCCGACGACCACGAAAATTGGGATCTTGTGGGAAAAGCGATTGTATCAACCTATTAACCACAACAATGCATAGAAAGTGTCATAAACAAAAAATATAAATCCTAAAGTGCAAGAGATAGAAATTATCTAGCAAACTACTTCATCAATATTCCAGGTTTAAGAGTACACAGTGTTGAATATTCACAAACACATACAAGTGAAGAGAGATGATCTGTACAATTTCAGAGAATACAACATAAATTAACTAAGTGTCACCACACTAAATATAATCAATGTTTTAAACACACATCCAATTTGCTGTTATTCTCTTGAAAAAATAATATATAAAACAAGAAGTCACCTCCCGATACGGTGTCCCAAGCGTGTTGTGAAGTTATTCAAGACTAGCTCAGGTTTGTGACTAGTTGGATTCCCATGATTCTGCAAGTGAAGGAGATTAAAGCATCATCATCTATCTGGAACTACAAGACATCCAAAATCCAAAATAAAGAAAAGCAACACCTAAGTAAGGAATACACATACACGTATACAGAGCCAAATGTCCATGAAAACAACAGCCATTTCAAGAAAACACACTCAGAAGAAAGCACATGATAATTAAAATTACACTATCAAGAACGAGGGAAAATTTTGAGGAAGGAATAGCAGGATCCTGAAACAAGCGGTTAAAGGAACACTTTGTGTCTGTGGAAAGGTATGTCTAACTAAAGGACTATCAGAAATTGCAATACTAAAATCATCTAGAGTGCAGAGTAAAACCATGAAAACATTCAGCACCCTTATCAAACTAATATAGCTTCTTCTCTTAAAAGAAAATCATTCCTAATTAGAAAGCTTAGCAGCTTAGACAAGATTCTGAAAAAGAAGACGGAGGACCAACAAACCTTGATATCCTTGCGCAGAAGAAGCTTTGATAGTTTGAAATGGGCAGTAGGTCCATCAGGTAATGCAATTATCAATAGAGCATCTAAAAGAGGATTCCATCATTAGTATTCTACACTAACTCACCAGGAGAGAGAAAAAGCAAGAGTCAATGGTTGCGTGTTAATGCTCGATAAAGGCTGCATAATTTAACCTGGTTCCCGGCGATTAGTGTGGACAACAATAACAGAAGTGAATTCCTTATTTTTTGCATATTCCACAATCTGCATAGGCAAAAGTATGCCAAAATAAATACTATTTTGTAGTTTTTTTTTTTTAAAAAAAAAAGGAATTAACAGAAATTAAGATTAAAACCTTTTTAAGATCATAGGTTCCTCTCTTGAAATAGTGTGCATTTGGGATCACAGAGAGTAGATCTGATATAAAAGCAGGTCCCCTCTGTAGGGAAAGAAATAAATAAGACATAACATCTATCCAAAAAAAAGCATGCCTTTAACAACAGGGAAAAACAAATAATCATGATTTGAAACTAAGGCAACACTGTACAGTCAAATAGGTACATATATTCGAATTAGCACGTACAGTTGAATTGAAGCGGCAAGTTGTTATGAGTATCTTTGGAGGGCGGTCCTGCTTCAGAATCGCACTAAATTCATCTGCATAATTTGTAGCAAATAGCTGTAGATGAAGAAGGCGAGAGCAGCACATATGAGACATACAGGATAATCTGTCACTTTATCAAATTTCCCAAGTATTATTTCCCAATCTGCAACTTGGGAAAAAATTGAAGATTCAAGATGGATAACCGGATACCTCTTCATCATCAGGCTTGCAAATAGTTTCGTCAAGCTCTCTGGTATTTTCAATTGTGCGAGGGATTTTCTTCGGAGGAGGCTGCTTGTATATAGAAAAACGTCCATCAGAATACAATTAGATAGTCAAATCTTGTTTCAATCAATTGCTTACTTATTGGACCAAAAATTACTAATTGCAAATTATATTAGACATATCGGATTGGACATACCAAACACTAAAGCCTCCAGATTAACAAATGCATTCATTTGATGAGAAAGATAAGGAAAAGGAATGTCTTTAAATAAATGAATTAAAAAAAAAAGATGAAAGGCAAACCTCCTCGCCAAGCTCAAGAGCTCTCTGCTCAGCCGCTTCACGAGCCTTGGCTCTCTTACGTTTCTCAAGCCTTTTCTGGTGCTTAAGCTTGGCGTGGACAGCAGACCTCTTCTCCTTATTCTTTATTGTTGACGGAAGCAATCCATCCACCGCTAGTTTCTCCTTTTTCTTCTTTACCTTTTGCTCGCCTCCGTCCTCGGTACCCTGGACACTGGTGGTGGTGGTGAAGTCCTTTCTCTTTCCTCCCATTTTTCTCTGACTAGCTCTTCTACACTAGTGAACCAAGAATAACAACAATATATGAGGTCAACATGACTGATAAACTCCTCCAAAAGCTTAAATTGTTAAGAGATTGTATTTTTGGATTTGGGAAGCAATCTGTGTCATTAAGGGAAACAAAAATGCTAGTGTTTGCCCTCATGCCCTGCATGAGGTATATGTTTAATAGGGTCAAACTTTTTAACTGAATTCAAATGATTCACAAACCAACAAATACAATACTAAACTCATGATTTAAAGGGTCATCGAGCACAGAGACACAAAAATACCAGATTAGAAAGACTAAATCTTCAAAACCAAAAAAGAAAAAAAAAATTGTCATATACAATCAAGAACATCAAATTAGTGTTTCAGTTTAGTAAACAATATCATGTAATATCTACCAAATCTATTGCCATTCCAGTCCAAAAGGCTACTTTTGAAAAGAACAGACAGAAAAATTCAAGAGCCAAAATAATATAGAAGTAGATAAACACAATAGAGGAACCAAAAGATCAATCTATAGCAAAATCCCAAATGCCAACATCAAGGAAATGGCAGACCTCTTTAAATTTTTTCACAAGTACCTCTTCAATTCAAACTCCAGAAAATACTGATTAATCAAATTAATCAATAAATTAAAAAAATCTAAAACCCCACGTGTAACCAGAAGCCTAATAAAATGTGAAACCATAAGCCAGACAAACCATGTTAAACAATATAAAATAAGAATATAAAATAAGAACCGGGAACACATAAAAAGTACTGACAGCTTTATAGTGTGTCAGTGAGAGAAGGTTGAGTGAAGCTCACCAGTAGATTTTGAGGATAAGAAAAAGGAGGAGGAGGAGGAGGATAAGGAGGTGGCAGCAGTGGTGGCGGAGAGTAGAGTTAAAAGGAAGAAGGTGCGGGGAAGAAAAAGAAGGGTTCGTAGGAGGAGGAGAAGGGAGCAGCGATGCAATGGAGCAAGTGGGTTTGCAATGAAAGTGAAAAGTTGCTCAGAGACATGGTACTAATGGAGGAGGAAGCCTGTTTAGACCTTGAAGGCACCTTGGACAACAGCCGTAGACCTGGCAATTAGGCAGATTGGACAGTTTTAAGTTAGTGCTTTTTTTTTTTATTTAAAAGAGAAAAATGGAAATTAATTACAACTCAATTGACAAATTGAAAAGTTAATAAACCTAAAAGTCAACTAAATATTCCCTAGGGACCTAATTGAAAATGCCTAATATAAGTTCTGGGGTCAAATTATAAAGTCCTAAAATTCTAGGGTCAAATTACCAAAAGAAAGGGAAAAGTGGGAGACTTATGCTGCAGTTCCATAAACCTGTCATCTTCTCCAAACGATGAAACGAAACAGGCCCTTGGCTGCTACTTCGTGGCTTCCTCTTCAACGAGAAATGCCGGAAACTTCAGCTCCGGCCAGTCCCAAAAAAAAAAAAGAACAGCACTCTTACATAGACAATCCCACTCACAATCAGACACTAACATACATAAAAATGCCAAGAAACAGCAAAAATAAAGGGAAAAGGAAATAAAAAATTTCATAAACCGTCTCTCTTAGCTTTCTGGCGACACTCACGGGCTTAGACCAGCTTTGGACTGGTCGGAGTCCTTCTCACATGCATACAGAAATTCACCAGTTCGATTCCTTTGGCTCAAGTTTTCGTAGAGGCCTTTTATCAAACAGGTCAGGTGCATTAATAAAATTGAACAAATTTCATGAACTTTTGCAATAGCAAGCCTAAAATTTACAGCAACCCAACCAACTCCCTCACAAACAACAGAAATTACAGCCCCATATGAATGCATCAGAAAGAGATAAGAAATTTTTACTAAAAGAGAAGGGAAAGATATAAACAGGTCAATAACTCTCATAGTTTCATATATTCACTAGCAAAAGTTAAAGGTAGGAAAGGAAAAAGAAAGTATTACAGTGCTTTTCCGGTGATGATTTGACGGCGATGACGGTGGATTCCGGTGAGGCGGTGGCAGCTTCTTGCTCACCTGCTCCCCAGATGAACTCTTCTTGTCTTTTCTAACTTCTGTTTTTTTTTCTGATTTTTCTATTTTTATGTCTTTTATGGGATTTGGGATATAGAACCAAGGTATTGGGAAGATTCTGAAGAAAAGTTGTTAGGATGGGGAAATAAAGGAATGATGATTTTAAGAGGATCAATAAGAGGCCGTGGGTGGTTCTCGTCTCTTGTTTTGAGTTAGGGCTAGTTTTCTACAGGACCAGGGGCTTAATTGAAAAGGCAATAGTTGCCAGGGGTCATTAGTGTAAATATCGTAAGTAGCCAAAGTAGCTATGGAGTGAGTTAGCTGTAGTGATAGTGAAGCAGTTACTAGCAATTCATTCGATTGTATAAATTCTAGACAGTGTAGTGGATTAAACAACAAGAAACAATAACACATTTTCCTTGCTGTTGATTCCCATTCTGATTTTTTTCTCATTCTTCTCTCATGTTTTCTCAACTCTTCCCCTCTCTTAGCTCATGTCTCCTTCCCTTTCTTGTTGATTCTACTTACTAATTCACCTAAATCTTGAGGAGCCTAACAAATTTGGTATTCGATCTGACCGATCCTTGATAGCTCATGAATTGAAGATGGCAGAGAGTACTGGTTTCAAGTAGGGATGTGCAAAATCGAAAAATTCCGATTTACCGACCGATTTCGAATTGAAATTGGAATTTCGAAATCGGTACATCGGTAATTCAGAATGGAATTCGGTAATTCTGATTTCGAAATGGTCGAAATCGGGTTGAATTCGAAAATATAATTTTTGAAATCAGAATTCGAAATAGGAAAATATAATTTTGAATTCGATTTATAATATTTATATATAATATAAATTTTTTAACAATATATTATATATGTAATATCAATTTATATTATTAACCTAATAAATTAAATTGCAGAACAACTTCCAAAAAGACAAAAAAGTAAAAGTGCAAATTGCAAAACCTAATCTTCCGCCTCTTCCTCATTCACCAATTCCGCTCTAATAAACCTTCCTTCCTCCGCGGCTCCGCCTCCACTACCAGTCTGTCACAGAGAAAGTAAGCTTGTTCTTGGCTTTAGAGAACAATACTGTAGTCATCAGTATCAAACTCTTACAATTCATCAATATAGTAGTCCTTTTCCCCAAAATTCTTGCACCAAAGCTGAGATGGAATTGGGCGAACAGGCATATGCGGCTGTTGCTCGAGCTCGACCAAAATCATGGCGATGGGGATACAAAGGACGAAGACGCCAGCCATGAGGATGGCAGTATTACGCTTCCAGTGCTTGGGGCGGTAGTAAGGCCCACCAGGCACGCTCCAGACTTTGGTCCTAAAGTCGCTTGCTCTGCCGTGCCCGTGGATCTCAAACTTTTTGAACAAGGGGAAAAAAAAAAAAGGAACAGGAACAGGTATTGAATTCGGAGAATTCGGAATTCACCGAATTCCGAATTCAATTCGGAGTCGAATTCGAAATTGGAATTGGCCATTTCGAATTTGAAATCGGTCGAAAAAATAGATGTCAAAATTTCAAAAAATTCCGATTTCAAGCTTCTAAATTACCGCTTTCAATTTCGATGCACAGCCCTAGTTTCAAGACATTAAAGAAGCACCTCAAGAAGCAAGAGCTCAAGTTACACGAAGTTGTGGAGGATGTCAAGAACCTGCAACTGCAAGTAAAAGAAGAAATGGCAAGAAGGGATAAATGAATGGATTCAATTGTCCTGGGGATGGACCAGAAATTTGAAACACTCAAATAGATGATGAAGGCATTGTTGAACAAGGAGAAGAATTCAATTGAAGAGGACAAGACTGGGAAAGATCATATGCCTTTATTGCCTACACCACCCATTCGTTAAAGGTTGAATTTGGGAGCAGAAAAAGAAGCAAAAAGTTGTGAATTATTTGGTAAGACTTCTAGTTACAATTTGCCTAAGATCGAGTTAAGTATGTTCAATGGGGAAAACCACCGTGAATGGATTAGAAAATGCAACAAATATTTCTTGCTTAATAACCACCTGAGGATCATAAAACTGTTGGTGGTGGAGATGTTTTTTTATGGAAAGGTTGATAACTAATTCCAAGGTATCAAGTTAGAATAACCTAGGTTGACTTGGGAGGAGTTTGAAGAATAACTATGCTAGAGATTTAAAGGAGCTTGTAGTAGGGATATTGTGTTGTAGGAGGGATATTGTGGAAGAATTTAATATGTTATAGCAAGTAGGCATGGTAGAGGCCTATCAAGAGAGATTTGAAGAATTGAAGACATTGATGTTAATCAAGAACCCCAACTTGAGTGAAGAATACTACATTTTAAGCTTTACCAATGGTCTCAAAGAAGAAATCAAGCCCATGGTGAAAATGCTTAAGCCAAACACTCTATCTAGGGTGGTAGAAGTAGCTTACTTACAAGAATAGGCTCTCAAATTGCAAGGAAAACACAGTGAAGGAGGGTAGCAGAGTGACGGCTGAATGATGAAGGCATTGTTGAACAAGGAGAAGAATTCAATTAAAGAGGACAGGACTGGGAAAGATCGTATGCCTTTATTGCCTACACCACCCATTCATTAGAGGTTGAATTTGGGAGCAGAAAAAGAAGCAAAAAACTGTGAATTATTTGGTAAGACTTCTAGTTACAATTTGCCTAAAATCGAGTTAAGTATGTTCAATGGGGAAAACCACCGGGAATGGATTAGAAAATGCAACAAATATTTCTTGCTTAATAACACACCTGAGGATCCTAAACTGTTGGTGGTGGAGATGTTTTTTGATGGAAAGGCTGATAACTAGTTCCAAGGTATCAAGTTAGAATAACCTAGGTTGACTTGGGGGAGTTTGAAAAATTACAATGCTAGAGATTTAAAGGAGCTTGTAGTAGGGATATAGTGGAAGAATTTAATAAGTTATAGCAAGTAGGCATAGTAGAGGCATATCAAGAGAGATTTGAAGAATTGAAGACATTGATGTTAATCAAGAACCCCAACTTGAGTGAAGAATACTACATTTCAAGCTTTACCAATGGTCTCAAAGAAGAAATCAAGCCCATGGTGAAAATGCTTAAGCCAAACACTCTATCTAGGGTGGTAGAAGTAGCTTATTTACAAGAATAGGCTCTCAAATTGCAAGGAAAACACAGTGAAGGAGGGTAGCAGAGTGATGGCTGAATGAAGAAGGCATTGTTGAACAAGGAGAAGAATTCAATTGAACAGGACTGGACTGGGAAAGATCGTATGCCTTTATTGCCTACACTACCCATTCATTAGAGGTTGAATTTGGGAGCAGAAAAAGAAGCAAAAAGCTGTGAATTATTTGGTAAGACTTCTAGTTACAATTTGCCTAAGACGAGTTAAGTATGTTCAATGGGGAAAACCACCGTGAATGGATTAGAAAATGCAACAAATATTTCTTGCTTAATAACACACCTGAGGATCCTAAACTGTTGGTGGTGGAGATGTTTTTTGATGGAAAGGCTGATAACTAGTTCCAAGGTATCAAGTTAGAATAACCTAGGTTGACTTGGGGGAGTTTGAAAAATTACTATGCTAGAGATTTAAAGGAGCTTGTAGTAGGGATATAGTGGAAGAATTTAATAAGTTATAGCAAGTAGGCATAGTAGAGGCATATCAAGAGAGATTTGAAGAATTGAAGACATTGATGTTAATCAAGAACCCCAACTTGAGTGAAGAATACTACATTTCAAGCTTTACCAATGGTCTCAAAGAAGAAATCAAGCCCATGGTGAAAATGCTTAAGCCAAACACTCTATCTAGGGTGGTAGAAGTAGCTTATTTACAAGAATAGGCTCTCAAATTGCAAGGAAAACACAGTGAAGGAGGGTAGCAGAGTGATGGCTGAATGAAGAAGGCATTGTTGAACAAGGAGAAGAATTCAATTGAACAGGACTGGACTGGGAAAGATCGTATGCCTTTATTGCCTACACTACCCATTCATTAGAGGTTGAATTTGGGAGCAGAAAAAGAAGCAAAAAGCTGTGAATTATTTGGTAAGACTTCTAGTTACAATTTGCCTAAGACGAGTTAAGTATGTTCAATGGGGAAAACCACCGTGAATGGATTAGAAAATGCAACAAATATTTCTTGCTTAATAACACACCTGAGGATCCTAAACTGTTGGTGGTGGAGATGTTTTTTGATGGAAAGGCTGATAACTAGTTCCAAGGTATCAAGTTAGAATAACCTAGGTTGACTTGGGGGAGTTTGAAAAATTACTATGCTAGAGATTTAAAGGAGCTTGTAGTAGGGATATAGTGGAAGAATTTAATAAGTTATAGCAAGTAGGCATAGTAGAGGCATATCAAGAGAGATTTGAAGAATTGAAGACATTGATGTTAATCAAGAACCCCAACTTGAGTGAAGAATACTACATTTCAAGCTTTACCAATGGTCTCAAAGAAGAAATCAAGCCCATGGTGAAAATGCTTAAGCCAAACACTCTATCTAGGGTGGTAGAAGTAGCTTATTTACAAGAATAGGCTCTCAAATTGCAAGGAAAACACAGTGAAGGAGGGTAGCAGAGTGATGGCTGAATGAAGAAGGCATTGTTGAACAAGGAGAAGAATTCAATTGAACAGGACTGGACTGGGAAAGATCGTATGCCTTTATTGCCTACACTACCCATTCATTAGAGGTTGAATTTGGGAGCAGAAAAAGAAGCAAAAAGCTGTGAATTATTTGGTAAGACTTCTAGTTACAATTTGCCTAAGACGAGTTAAGTATGTTCAATGGGGAAAACCACCGTGAATGGATTAGAAAATGCAACAAATATTTCTTGCTTAATAACACACCTGAGGATCCTAAACTGTTGGTGGTGGAGATGTTTTTTGATGGAAAGGCTGATAACTAGTTCCAAGGTATCAAGTTAGAATAACCTAGGTTGACTTGGGAGGAGTTCGAACAATTATTATGCTAGAGATTTAAAGGAGCTTGTAGTAGGGATATCGTGGAAGAATTTAATAAGTTATAGCAAGTAGGCATAGTAGAGGCCTATCAAGAGAGATTTGAAGAATTGAAGACATTGATGTTAATCAAGAACCCCAACTTGAGTGAAGAATACTACATTTCAAGCTTTACCAATGGTCTCAAAGAAGAAATCAAGCCCATGGTGAAAATGCTTAAGCCAAACACTCTATCTAGGGTGGTAGAAATAGCTTATTTACAAGAATAGGCTCTCAAATTGCAAGGAAAACAC